GAAAAAGATAAATCTTTATCCTCCTGCAGCAGCAGCAAACCAATACCCCACTGTTTGCTGCCCCAATCGGGTGTATCCTCAGCTCCTGCTGCTGGCAGCAAACAGAACCCTCCTGTCTCTAGGCAATCAAATCTGCTGCTGCTGCTGCTGCTGCTGTTGCTGCTGCTGCTGCTGTTGTTGCTGCTGCTCAAGTATGGGGAAGGAGACGAGTCTGTCACCACCCACGGGCAAGGACGCCCTCCTGCTGCTGCTGCTGCTGCTGCTGTTGGGTTTGCTGCTGCTGCTGCTGCTGCTGCTCGGAAGAAGGAAGAGACAGGAAGGAGACGCAGCAAACGCCCAAAGGAAAGACAAACCTCCAACTGCACACAAACCATAAACCCTAAACCCTAAACCCTAATCGCCAAACCCTAAACCCTAGTCCTCAAACCCTAAACACTAAACCCTAAACCCTAGCACATCTTGTACTCACGTGTTTGCGCGAAGTCCTTCGGGAGCCGGAGAAAACTGCAGCAAAAGCAGCAACAACAGCAGCAACAGCAGCAGATGCAGCAGCAGCAGCAGCAGCAAAAAGGCGAGGGTAAAAAGAAGCAAAAGAAATAAACACAAAACAAAGAAAATAAATACAAAATAAATAAATCATATAAGCAGCTGTTGCTGCTATTGCTGCTGCTCTTGGTGCTGCTGCTGCTGTTGCTGCTGCTGCTGCTGCTGCTTACTCATTTGTAGGTCTGAGAGTATTGCTGCATCTGCTGCTCTCTGTAGTGTCTCGGCACCTCCTAACAAAGGACGACGAGCTAACATATAATACAGTGGATCTCCTGCTGCTGCTGCTGCTGCTGCTGCAGTTGCTGCTGGTGTTTCTGCTGCTGGTGCTGCTGCTGCTGCTGCTTGTCCGACTGGTGTTGGTGCTGCTACCACTGCTTCTGCTGCTGGTGATGCAGTTGCTGCTTCTGCTTCTGCTGCTGCTGCTGCTGCTGCTGCTGGGGCAAGCAACTCGTCAGATGTGTCTGCTGCTGTGTCTGCTGCTGCTGCTGTGTCTGCTGCTGCTGTTGCTGCTGCTGCAGCAGCAAGTTGCTGCCCCAGGGGACTATCGCGGTCAATTCCCAGGTAATCAATTGCTGCTGCTACAGGCGACAGCTCCTGCTGCTCTAGCTGCTGCTGCTGCTGCTGCTCCAGCTGCTGCTGCTGCTGCTGCTGTTCAGCTTCTTCTTGTTGTATAAGGTGTTGCTCAAACTGCTCAAGCGGTGAAGCCGGCAGCTGCTGCTGCTGCTGCAGTTGCTGCTGCAGTTGCTGCTGCTGCTGCAGTTGCTGCAGCTCTGGTATACTTTTAGCAGCAGCAAGAAGGGCAAATGCTTCTGCTGCTGCTGCTGCTGCTGCTGTATCAGCAGCAAGGAGACACAATGCCTCATATAATCTAACAGCAGCAGCAGTGTCTCCTCTAATAGACTCCCAGTCTTCTATGCTGCACGCACACATACACAACACCTGCTGCTGCTGCTGCTGCTGCTGCTGTTGCTGCTGCTGCTGTAGTATTAGTAGTAGTAATAGTGTTAGTACTTGATTGATCTGCTGCTGCTGCTGCGCTGCTGCTGCTGCTGCGCTATCGCGACTCACCATAGCTTCGCGGTCCTACGGATGAGGTCTGCTTCTGCTGCTGCTGCTGCTGCTGCTGGGTCACCAGCAGCAGCAGCAGCCCACAGGATATCAACAGCTTCTGCTGCTGTTAGCTCTGTCCTTGCTGCTAGCTGCAGCAGCAGCAGCAACAATTGCTCCGCAGTGGCAGCAACACCAGCAGCACCACCTGCTGCTCCTCCTGGATCCCCAGTGTCTCCAGCAGCAGCAGCACCAGCAGCAGCTGCTGCTTCTGCTGCTGTTGCTGCGGGTTGCAGATGAGAAGAGCTATGGTCTGCTGCAGCAGGAGGTAATTGTCTTGCTGCTGCTCCTCCTGCTGCTTCTCCTGCTGCTTCTGCTGCTGCTGCTTCTGCTGCTGAAGACCAGGAGCGGTGTGCTACGTCGAGCACAGGGGAAGCAGCAGCAGCAGCTGCTGCTGCTGCTGTTGCTGCTGCAGCAGCATCTTGCATGCGTTTGGTGTTATAGGGTGCTAGTTCTGCTGCAGCAGCCTTAGCAAGAACAGCAATTGCTGCTGCTGCTGCTGCACCTCCTGATGCCCGCAGCCGCTGCAGCACAGCAGCAAGCAGCTGCTGCGGCGTTATGCTGTTTGTTGCTGCTATACATTGTGTTATAACTGTTAGCTGCGGTAAGGAGAGAGCAGCAAGTCCCCTCCCTCTTGCTGCTCCTGCTGCTGCTGCTGGTGCAGCAGCAACTGCAGCAGCAGCAGGTGCAGCAGCAGCAGCGCAGCAAGCAGCAACAGCCTCAGGCACAAAGCGACAGAAACCAACAAGACGCAGTGTATGCAGCAAAGACACAACAACATCAGCAGCAGCAACAGTCTCATTCCCTGCTGTTGCTGCTGCTGTTGTTGTTGTTGCTGCTGCTGCTGCTCTTGGCCTTGTAAGAGGAGTGGTGCTATCTGCTGCTGCTGCTGTTGCTGCTGCTGTTGTTGCTGCTGCTGTTGGATTCGTCAGGGCAGGTAGGGTTGTAGTTGATCCGCACAAGAGCAGCTCACGGTGCTGCTGCTGCTGCTGCTGTTGCTGCTGCAGCTGCAGCACTTGCTGCTGCAGTACAGCGGATGCTAGCTGTACAGCAGCAGAAGCAGCAGCAGCTTTTGCTGTTTTATTTGCTGCAACAACAGCAGCAAGAGTATTAGCGAATGGTAGCTGCAGCAGCATAGCAGCAAACTGCTGCGGCTGCAGTGCATGCAAGAAGCGAGCAGCAGCAGCAGCAGCAGCAAACCGTGCAGAAGATCCATGACCTACACCTAAGCGACTAAGCAGCAGCAGCGCAGCAGCAAACTGCTGCGGCTGCTGCAGCTCCTGCAGCAGGCCGCTGCAGCAGCGCCGCAGCAGCAAAGATCTATAAGCAGCAGATGCAGGCAGCAGCTCAGTAAGAGCAAATCCTTCATCTATTGTTGCTGCTGCTGCTGTTGTTGCTGCTGCTGCATGCAGAGATACACGAAGACGCAGCAGACGCAGCAGCTGCTTGCTACGTTCTGTATACAGTGGATGCTGCTGCTGCTGCAGTATTTGCTGCTGCTGCGGTGGCAGTAGCAGCAAGTTACCATTTTGGCTGTCTGCAGCAGCAGCAGCAGCAACTCCCCCATCTCTTGCTGCTGCTGCTGCAGCCATGATTGCTGCTGCTGCAGCAGCAGGACTTGTTCTGCTGCTGAAGTATCTCTTACATACAACAAGGAGACGCAGCAACTGCAGCAGCTGCTGCTGCCGCTGCAGCAGGGCAGAAGCTAATAAGGAATCAACAGCAGCAGCAAAGAAGGAAGCAGATAAGACACCTAAGCGACATAACTGCAGCACAGCAGCAGCAACAGCAGCAGGACTTGCTGCCAGCAACCAATCCTCTCCTAGATGGTAAGACACTGCATGCAACACAAAGGATAAATCACGTATGCTGCTGCTGCTGCTGCTGCTGCTGTTTTTATAGGCAGCTGCTGTTTGTGCTGCAGTAGCAACACACTGCAGCGCCAATTCAATTGCTGTTTCTTGCTGCTGCTGTGGCTGCAGCAGCAAGGGACCATTTGCTGCAGCAGCAAGTTGCTGCTGCAGCAGCTGCTGCCATAAACCTTCTTGCTGCGCAAAATAAGGATCCTTAGCTAGCAGCAAGAAGGGCAGCAGCAGCAAATGTTGCTGCTGCTGCTGCTGCAGCTCAACCCCCACCAGCAGCAACCGTCTTACTAAACGAGCTATTAATAGCCGCTGCTGCCGCACCTGCGGCTGATACTGCTGCTGCTGCTGCTGCTGCTGCTGTTGCTGCTGCTGTGGAGGCAGGACGAGTAGCAGCAGCAGTGCATCTTTTGCTGCTGCTGCTCTTAATGAGTTACAATGCTGAGATATAGATCGTACAGCTAACTGCAGCAAGGGATGGTGCAGCAGGAGCTGCTGCCTAACTGCAGCAGCAGCAGCAAGAAGAGGCAAAGACAGCAATGCCCTCAGCAGCAAACATGTTTGATGAATAGATAAGATATTTGGCTGCTGCTGCATGTGCTGCTGCAGTTGCTGCTGCAGTTGCTGTTGCAGGCGATGATAGTAATGATGGTGGTGTTGATGTTGTTGCTGCAGTTGCTGCAGTTGCTGTTGACGTTGCTGCTGATGCTGCTGTACAGCAGCAACATACAATGCATCTAACTGCTGCAGCAATTGCTCATGCAATAGTTGCTGCTGCAGCAAACTCTTTCCATCCTGTTGCTGTTGTTGAGTATTTGCTGCTGGTGTTGCTGCTGCTGCTGCTGCTGCTGGTATTCTTGCTGTTACGAATCTTCTTGTATATCCTTGTTGCTGCAGCAAAAGGAAACTGCTTCCTCTTGCAGCAGCAGCAGCAGCAGCAGCAGCAGCAGCAGCAGCAGCAGGTTGTATCCTAGCAGGAAACTTATAAAATAGAGGTAATAGAACTTGTTGTTGCTGTTGATGTCTGAATCTATGAATCCTCCAACAATACATCAACACCATGACCTCCTGTTGCTGCTGCTGTTGCTGTTGCTGCTGCTGCTAATACAGCAACAACAGCAACAGCAACAGCAGCAGCAACAGCAGCAGCAGCAGCAAGAGGATAAATTATTGATCTCTATATAGATCTGTATCTAATGTTAACCAATGATAATGAATAGAGTCAGCAATAAATTGTATAGCACCATCAGCATGAATAGCAGCAATAGCAGCAGGTTGCTGTAATAATAATAATATAAATAAAGAAGAAGGATAATAAATAGAATAAATAAATGGAGGAAAAAGAAAATAATTTAAATAATATAAATAATTAATAAATTTATTTTTATTCAAATATCCATTCTTATTTAGATATTCAATATAAAATGGATTCGATAAATTATTCACAAATTCTATTTCTACTTGGAGTCGTAAAGAATTCAGGGA